AACTTCTGACATGTGTGAGGATAAAGAGCTTCTTGTATATTTACGTTGTTTGATTTCCATAAGCAGCAGGCTACCTCCCTTACACTTTCTGGCCTTCAAAAATACATCAACATAGGATTTCAAATAAAAGTGCAAGGAAAGGAGAAAAAAAATTGTATACAGAAATAAAATAACCATTTTTACTTAATTTGTAGACTGAAGTTATGTAAAGAAGTATTGCTAGCTTCTCCTGAGAAGTTATTTAGGATACATCTAAGGCATCGGTCTCCCTTAAACCTAAAGGAAGGCTATGAGAATAATAACTTTCTGATGCAAAAGCTTTTGAGCTTTTCTTCCATAATAATTGCAAAAACATACAGTATTTCCCTTTCTCATATTGGTACATCATAATTGCCTACATCGCTTCTTTGTTAGATCCCTAGTTTATTTTCTATCCCTGTCAATATATTTCTACCTGTCATGTTAAAGAATCATTGACTCCTAGAACTCTTTGAGTAATAAGAGACTCTTGGAGGTCATCTCCACTGGTCTGAGAACAAAAGTGGAATTAAAGCTGTAAATAAGTAATAGCTCTAGAAACTAAGAGAACGAAAGGGAGAAAATAAAGCATTGTGATAATTTCTGAAGCCAATCCACTGCAGCAACAACTCTAAATTGGAATACCCAAGCAGTATACCATATGCAGTATACTTCATGTTTCTTACAAAGTCTTCTGACAAAACTTAGCCATGGTAATAAGTGCTAACTCTGACTCAAAATGAAAACTGAAATGTTTGTGTTATTACTCTGCTGATGCATTGAAGAAAGGGAAAGTACTTGTATGATAACTGTTGAGTCACAGCCTGAACCACTGATTGAACACCTGGGGAAAGGACCTGGTCAGCTCTGGGAGCACAGGTGAAGGCAATTGATGTGGGAGGCTGGAAGGGGTGGAGCCTGGCTGCACCTCTCTTAGACCTCATTTAAGGGCTGACTGCCACTCTGTTGCTTCCCTTGTGGAGTCTTTCCTGCAAGCCTAGCTCTTTGGAGGTAGGTGAGCACCTTTACTTTTCTTTTGAAATAGCTTCTTATCTGTGCTGGTCTCTTTGTTGTTATGCTCCTGTATTACCCTTCCACTTTGTTGGTCTTTCTGATTGTAATATGCTTCACATGAGAAGTGGGTAGAATCAGCTATATGTAGGCAGATCAAAGTGTATATATAGGTGAAAACTAGATTAAGAACTCTCTTAATGTATTTTAATGTATTTGGCTAATCTTGTGGAGAAATGACCCCAATTCAAATAGGGAGAGTTAAAGTTTTTATGGTGAGTCAGGAATCAACAACAATTTATACAACTGAAGGAATAACTGAATAGCTCATTATGTTGCAGGAAAAGTTTTGAGAACTACAGTGAAACACAAATTCAACAACAGTTAAAAATATTGTGCTGGGAAGTACAAGCAGGGGTATCACTTATAGTTAACTGATATAATCCCTCTGCTGTTTTCAAGATTGGTGAGGTCTTTGATGTGTTTTGTCCAGTTTTGGGCATCATACTTCAGGGAAGATCAACTTGAAGACTTTAGATGGGAATTACTGAAATGCTGTGAAATGCAACACACCAGGAAGGTCCAAGGTAAAGCCAAGAATTCAATCAGCAGACAGGTGAAGAGAGGCAATGGTCAAGTAAGGCAAGGTTTGGGTGGAGCAGGAGATCAACATCCCATTGCTGGGAAGGGGCTCTAGGTTAAGCTAAGAAAGGTGGTCTTGGCCTTTGGGAAGGTCAGGGTGGTTCAGGCCACCAGGCTGTGGCAGGTAGAATGTCCTATGGAAATGATGGACTTCTTCAAATGAAGGTTATTCTAACTTCTACTAGGAAAGGCAAAGGCACCACAGATCCAGCCTCAGAATGAAAGGAGAGGCCTCAGCTTGCCTTCTTTATTTTGACTTCTTAAGATTGATTCCATAGGTCTTAATTATTTTACATCTCTTGTGGCCTATGGTGATTCCTCCAGTAAACCAGACACCAAGAAGAGGTGCTTTGGCCAGAATGGAAAATATCACACCACAGATCATAAAAGTCCAGCATCAAAGAGCAGGAAATATGTTCCCAACTTCTGGGTCATATATATGAGGGATTATCAATTTACATCCATAGGCTTTCAATTATATTTATTATTCTGTCATTATTTTTCCAATAATTACTTTTTCAGTTTAGATAATCTTCCTTCACCTTTATGTCCATGCTCTATGCAGTTAATATAAATATAGTGGGTATATGAATACTATGGATTACCTGTTTCTATATAGTTGAAAGTAGATTATTTCTTCAGCTGTGCTTCCTTTGGGCCTGAAGAATGATAGTTTTCATACTCTGATTGCTCACCGAAGCCAGACCACTGTAGCCAAAGAAATATTATGCATAAATGTCTAACAGGTTTAAAATTATACTTAGGTCACACGCCTATGAAATTAACATCCTTCCAGATGTTCAGAAGGCATCGTTTCCTGCAGGCACACCATTAATTCTACCTATGCTTTTTATAACTTTTATCATCACTATTTGCTTCCATTCTATTTGCTTCTACATTTTCCTCATGAAACATTTTTGCTATAGTCTTTCTTAACTGTACTCACCTGTATGCTTCAGGAATCCAGTTAACCTAATATCACCAATGCTTCCTATATATCCAGCTCCTTATCAGCACAGTGCACTTGAAAACAAAACAATGCCACAGTGAAGTCCAGCTCATGTATTTGGGCCTAATTTGGGATTACATAAAATGTTTATTTCCCAGAAGACTTATTTGCAAGTATAATTAATACTGGACATTTTTTAATGAATGAATGAATTGGCTCGAGTTTTTAGCCCTGGTATTATTCAAATTTTAGCCCTGGTGTATTCAAATCGGAGTGGTGAACTTGTTTATACTTTTACATTGACTTGGATGAAGATGTAGTGTTGTGATTTTTGAGCTAATGTTAGTATTGAAATAGGATACACAGTAATCAGGACTTTTGATAGTATCATTGACTAACCCAGCCATTGTTTCTTGTCAGAATGACCAAAGGAGCTGCCAATCTATGTGTAGCAGGCTACTCATCTTTTTCATCTCCAGACAGGTCACAACAGATTAAACACTGGGAAAGGCAGGTGGAGAATCACTGACAGAAGTTGTAGCCTCACCTAATGACTTGCTAAAGAAGTTTCTGCAGTGCTCTGCCTTTGCTATGAGGAGAAACCTAGAAGAGTTCCTTTGCTTCCAGCATCACTCAGCACATGATGAGAAATATCCTGGCTCTGTCTTACTAGCTTTATTCACACTGATTTTGTATATTTAATTAAAGGACTACAGCAAACTTGTGTCATGGGAAACAGGTCGGTGTCTTTTCACCACTACCTCATATTCAGACAATCAAAGAAAACCAAGAACAAGAGAAATACAGTACCATATGTTTTCTGTTCATGTTTTCCTGACTAAGGAAACCAAATGGCAGGTAGTGGTTTTGGACATAATGGCCACTGATAGTCTGTATGGGAAGAAGATGGCAGACTTTACTCAGCTATGTCAAAGTAGTGTGTAAGTAATGTGACAGTATTTGCTGCACTAGTAACATTTCACTATGGGATCAGGAAGGGACCTGGATATTCCTCCCAGCATTAAATGCTTTGCTACCTGGATTCTCTTAGCCACACCACAGAGAAAAGAAAGCAGGTTTGTGATTTTTCTATTAATAATGGGAGAGAACTGAGTTGCTGTGATTATTTAGGTGTACACTGTGGTTAATTCACATCTCAGGAATGTCCTCTGATTACTATTTTCACGCACATTCTTTCACTAATAAAACATTCGAGTATGCCTGTACATCCACGTTTCGAGGGGGAGTCTGTGAAATGCCGCCATTCCCTGCTCTGGTGGCGCCACCTGGCGGCCGGCACGAGCCATGCAACCGAGCTCGTGCCAGACGCGACACGCGCTCTGCTTGGGCTGCTGCTCGTTCCCAAGGCGTCGCAACAACCAAAACGAGACAAGCGCTTCTGAGGAATGCACAGCCTACGGCTCTTTCGTATAACGGCTTTCAAGCAGTACGATGAAATGAAAACGTACCCGATTAGCACTGATGGAAGACCCACTTGGCTGGTTGTGAAACCTGCTTTGAAATCGTACAATTGCAGTCTCAATGACATCCTGCTTGAACTTCTCGTTGCTTTTATATCAAACTAGACAATTCCCTACTAGGCTCTTGCTTTCTCTCACAGCGCTTTTATTGTGATCGAGGCCCTTCTTGCAACGCTGAGCAACGAAATGCTCAGTTCCAGCAGCGTGCTCTCAGCAACGCATTCGCTGCTGTTGTTCCCCTGCGGTTGTTTGTAGCGCCCTTCATTGCTCGTGTTCAGTGAGAAACCACCCCAAGAAAATAATACCAACGTTTCTTGCTAAGTGTCTTTTGGAGCCCTTCTAATCTTTCCTCAGATTTCTAAGGAGGCTCTGCACCAGCTAAAAGCACAGGACGGGTGTTTCTGGCCCGCAGGCGGTTCCTTTGGCTTGCTACCAGCCCGCTTACCTCGGTGCCCCGAAGTCTCGCAGGACGCGGATTGCGGGCAGATTTATGACCCGCCCCTTACAAAGCTGTTCCCTCGGGGCGAGCTACACACCCGCAAGCCCCTTTCTCGGCGTTTTCGGGGGCTCGGTGTTTTGTGGGTGCAGAGCCTCCGCAGCCCCGAGCTCCTTAGAGGAGCAGACATCGCGCTACGACCGGACCGGGCGCGAGCCGAGACACGCGCCGCACCACGCGGCTCCAGAGCAGGGCGGAACCCCCGAGTCCTGATCTCTCCTGCGATTGGCTCCCATCCTCCACCAATCCCCTCCTTCCCGTGCGGCGAAAAGCGCCGGGAGGGGCGGGGTTAGGGGCAGCCCCGCCTCCTTCCCAACGGCCGGCAGCCGGGCGGGCGGCGGATTGGCGCGTGGGGGCGGCGGCTCCTCCCCCGCGGCGGCGGCGCGGCTTGGGGGCAGCCATGGCCATGGGAAGGGTGGGCGCGGCGCGGCCATGCAAGGTGCGTGCGGGGCGGCGGGCAGGGCGGGCTGTAGCGCGGCTTTGGGGGCCGGCTGAGCCTCTGGGCTCGGCCGGGACGGTGGGGGCTCGTTGGGAGCGGAGTTAGGCTGCGGTCCCTTAGCCTCACCTGCGCTGGCCGCGTCTCGATGAGGAGCTTTCCATCCCCCCTGAAAACAGCGGGTGAAAACGGTGCATAACGCGAAAGCGAGAGGGTGTTTGTGTGTTCCTGTCACCAGCAGGCGCTGTCTTCTGGAAGGCTGACGGGAGCAGCAAAGCAAAGCAATGGAAGGAAACAGTAAGGCTCGAATCGCGGCTGCTGAACAAGTAGCTTTGGAATTATTTTTTGAAGTAGTACGAACAGTGAATTTGACCTTTTTTTAGGCTTGGCTTAAGAAAAGGATGTCGTTCTGATGTGGAGGATGCATACTGTCACTACTCCACTGATTCAGACGATCAGGTAATTTCCCTGGCTTCTTAATGCAGTCGCATCTGTTATCTAGAGAGAATGGAGACTGGAATAGAATCACAGAGTTGGAATTCTCAGATGTCCCCACTGAGGGCCATCCAGTCCAACTGCCCTGTAGTGAACAGGGACACCACAGATACGTCAGGTTGCCCAGGGCCTGATCCGGCCTCGCCTTGGATGTCTCCAGGGACGGGGCATCAAACACAACACCAGGCAACCTGCTCCAGTGCCTCACCACCCTCACTGTAAAAGACTTTTTCCTTATATCCGACCTAAATCTACCTTGCAACAATTGAAGAAAAAAAAAATGCCAAATTAGATACTGCTGCATGTGGTCTAGAAGAAGCTCCTTCAAAGCCACTGAGAGTATTTATACAGAGCACTGTGGATACTTGCAAATTGTCTCAGCAGTAAGTTTGCCTCTGACAGCTTGTTAAGGCATAGAACATGTTGTGTGAACACACCTCTGCTGTTTGTACTGCCAGAAGTGTAACCATGTTAGTTATGCTTTGTGACATGAAGAATAAGTTGTACGAAAGCAATGCTGCAGCAGAGCTTTATGTGTAGCACTGAATCGATTATTTCCAAACTTAGAAATGTACTGTAGGTAATAGTTTAACTGTAAATGGAAACTAGCTAAAACAAAACTAAATAACTAAAACAAACGCACATGCAGTTACCAGCAAATAAAATCAAAGAAATGTGCGCACATGTAACAACACAATTTAAGCTTTTTGCAAATTTTCGTGTGATTGCAAAGTGATACATTAGAAACTAAACGTTTTTACCTATGATCAATGTTTTATTATTATTTTTAAGATAACAGGGTGGGGAACAGCTCCCTCTGAAAGGGCTCTGTTTTACTGAAAACAAGCAGTGATGCTCATTTTCTGACTGAGGTATTCTGTATGCAGGTTAATACTATTCATAATGGACTTGACCGCTGTGCAGCTTTACTGAAGAATATCCTAGAAAATGAAGCTACAGGTTGTAACTATTGAGAATTTAAGTTACGTTTTTAGTTTTTGTAGGGCTGTTGTGATTTGTTTTGTTGACCAGCTTTTGTATTGAATGCAATAGGAAAGGAGGCTATCCATAAACAACCAGGGAAATCGTCTGTTAAAATTACTTCCAAACCTTTCCTAACCAAAGCAAATACTCTGAAGAAGAAAGGATTGAAGAAAAGCATTACTGCTCCCCACATCCGAAAAGAAATTGGTGAGCAGATTTCCTCAGGCTTCCTTTTTTCTCGAGTAGTACTGAGAGGCTCCACGCTTCTTTATTGTGTGGATGCAGGAGACAGAATAAAACACTCAGCTGAAGTTCTCTTTCTTTAGTGCCAATATTACCTAAGAAAAATCTTTCATCTACCACGCCATCTACTGAGAAAGAGCTTCCCAGTGCAGTACAGCACCAGCTGATTCGACCAACTCATGTGCCTTGCAGCCAGCAGTCTCCTGTCATACGTGAGAAATTGTGTGAGCATGTGCCCACCCAGATGGCTCTGATAACTGGCCAGCCATCACAGAGCAATAATGAAATTCCTCCTGTGACTTCGTTTCCTACCTCAGATCATGGTTAGTTTGACTATCAATGTAGGGCTTGCTGTTGTACTCCAAGTTTTGCCCCAGGTTGCCCTAATCTGTGACAGCATTGTTTTCTTTTAGGATATCAAAATGTTACAGATTTTAATTACCAGTTATCTGTCTCCACAGCAGACCTGTCCCTGCAGCATGCATCTCATCCCTTATCTACTCAGGCTGTAAGTAAAAGTTTGATTTAGATTATTAATAAGCATTTGAAAATAGCACTGTTTATTTATGTATACACTGATTTGTAAGGATTTCATTGAGTTTATGTAATTCCTTCATTATGAAAAATCTCAGTCTATTTCAACCTGTACTGATGAAAGATGATGAAAAAATACTGCAGTTCAAAATGTTATGTACATGGATACCAAAGAGTAAAATGGGAGGTGTTTCAAATAGCTGTTTCTGTGTGGGGAATTCTGTAATGGACAGGGAGCATGAAAGGTGTAGGAAATTGCTCATTACTGTTCAGAATTATATTATCAGTAATGCACATAAGAATCTCTAACCAACTCCTCATTAAAGAAATTGTATCTCATATGCAGCTTTTCCTCTACTAATGATCTAATTAATTATGTCTTCAGATACTGAGTAGTATCTTAGAGCCACGTTTTAAAATCTGTGTGCATTTCAGGGCATAAAATAAAAGTAATGGAGAGTACCAGCAACCACCTTGGGAAATGTGGTAATGGCCTTGCAGTTTGGAACTGGAAGGCTGTAGAGTCATCTTCCACCTGTAGGCAGTCCATGTAATTAGTGCTATCCTTGACTTTTTAGAAATACATCAGTTTAAAATATTGAGACAGAACTGTTTTCTTTTTATCTTTTCCCTGTTCTGATTTGGTTTCAAGGGATGAATAATTAGAGAAAAAAAAAAAAAAAAAGCAACAGCTGCTGAGTTTTTTTTTCTTACACAACAGAGATTAAACTGCTTTAATGTTATCAGTGATGTTTAAGATCGAATGTAAATCATGTTAATTCTCTGTTTAAAATGAATCTTCTTTATGCAGGGTGTTCCTATAGACAGTGGCAATGAATGTGTGCCTCAGATGGGAGAAACTGTGGTTTTCCCCATGGTTTCTGCTGCTCCCACTCCTGCACAAATACAGGCTGCCAGTTCCCTTCCTGGTGTGATGCGTTATGTAGCATCAGGTGCATCAAGTAATTCTGCAGTGCCTACATTCACCCCGTTGTCTTCTGGCAGAGAGATGATCCCAAGGCAGGAGCAACGGAGTAAAGAAGCAGACTTGATAAGGTGCATAAAAGCTCACCTGGCCCTGTTACAAACGCGTGAAATGGCAAATGGCAGGACTGAACAGAAGCTCTGTCATTGTCTGACAGCATGTAACGTCTCAAGTAATGATGGGGATGCTTCTGAAGAACACAGTGAAGATGTGGTCAGCGAAGGTGAATTGAATGTGCTTGATGTGGCCTCAGCAAGAGATGCAAACAGCCAGCAAAGCTGTGTGAAGAAAGGTCTAAAACCTAGACAAGAAAGTGCAGATAAAGCAGCCCATAAAGTAAAGATGGTAAAATATCTTTTGGGAGAACTCCGAGCACTGATAACAGACCAAGGTAAAAACATTTTCACTGTGCACTGTAGTAATTATATGAAATAATGGAAGAGTTGCACTAAGTGAGCATGCGCTTCGGTGTCTGGAATGTATGTTGTCTTGGAGTGGTGTTCCACAACTTCAGTCACTTCCTGCTTCACCATGGGGAAGTATGAGGTTACATTTTGGGTTATTGTAACGTTGTAACAGCAGGGATAGAAATGGTTCTCATTTTGTATACATTGTTTTCCCGCCAAAGGGAGCAGTGTGGACAGATTATACAACAGCAATCCTACAAGGGTTGGTCTGAGAAGTGTTGGGTGGTGTTGTATCAAGATGCTGAAGCATAGCTTTCATAGTCAAGTGTTAAAGTTTCAAATAAATAAAGATAGTTGGTCAGTTTTAAATTCTTTTTTTGAAGTTTGATTTAGAAGAAAATGAGATGCTATGGCATCACTTTGATAGTTCTATTACAGGTGTTTCTTTTTCCCCCACCTCTTGCAGATGATTCAGAAATGTTAAGGTTGATGAATGAAATAGAAGAATGCATATCATTGCTGCCAGCTGTAGTGGGAAGTACAAACATACAGACTGAGATAGCTCTAGCTTTACAGCCTCTCAGAAGTGAAAACGCCCAGCTGCGTAGGTTAGTAACTGTATTTACTGCAAAAAGTGCCTAAAAGATCTTTGGTCTGTTCTAAATTGCATGTTCTAGCATTGCTGTGGTGTAATTGTTGTGGCCCTTTCTATTTTGTCTGTGCAGTATTAATATGTTACCAAATTGGTAAGGCTGTGTTATGTTAATTAATGCATAGATGCTGAAAGAAAATATTTTAGTACATCAGTTACATCAAGATTGAGGCTTTGTCTAGGTGGTGGTAGCATATCATTCTGTCTGAAGACTACAGTATTAACAGTATTTGGTATTGAAGAAAAATTGAAATTCAACAAAAAAAACTAAATAAAGCTTCTTTATATTTGTAAAATGTTCTGTGATATTATATTCTTCCTAATTTAAAGTGCATTGGTTTTGAATTTATTTTGAACTTTCTGAATATGCTGTTTTTCACAACTCATGTTTAGGAAACTAAGAATCTTAAATCAGCAACTCAGGGAACAAGAGAGGAATGAGAAGACATCTGGACCGAGCTGCAACTATGAATGTAAAGTACTAGTAGAGAACAATGGTTGTTGGGGCATTTTTGTTAAGACTTTGTTTAAATTAATACAGACATATCTATATATGATTAATAACAACAGTATGTATTCTGGCCCTTAGTGGCAGCTGAGCTAAGTGCTGAGGATCTAATTGTATGGCTGTGTTTGCATGGGTTGTTTTACTTGTGCAACAGGGATGCCGAAACTCAGGGGTTCAGCTCCAGAACAGATTATTTTTCTTTGTGTCTGTCCTACAATGAGGATGACAGATAACTAGGAAAACTGAGAAGGAAGTTTATGTTTTATCTCTCTTCCTCAAAAGACTCCTTATCTTATCTGTAAGCTGTAGTCAGGTTACCAAGACTCCTTAAGAAACGTAATTCAGTGTAGAAATCCATACTGTAGCACACAGCATGCTTAAAGTTGTATGTTTACTTCTGTTAGTGGCTTCTTTGCAGTCCTTGAATGTGATGCTCCACACTCAACTGAAAGAATCACTGAAAGGCCTTGAGTCACTGCAGGCTAAAAACGAAGAGCTACTGAAAATAATAGAAAGTCAAAAGGAAGAAAATAAGCATCTTGCAAAAGATATTCAGGAGAAAGAAAAGGAATTGCTTGAAAACAAGCAGCAACATGATATTCATTCCACCAAGGTCAAGATTGGTACGTGTTTTAGATTTGCTTACTCTTAGCATTTTTAAACTTGAGTAATTAGCTAAATTTTTCTTGGCATTTTAGAAGTGGAGGAGGCATTAGCAAGTGTGAAGAGCCTTCAGTTTAAGCTGGAAGCTTCTGAGAAGGAAAATAAGATTTTGGCCATAACGTTACGCCAGCGTGATGCAGAAGTTAACAGACTGCGTGAGTTAACCAGGTACTGAGCGTGAAGTGTTATTTTTGCTTCCTGGCATTTCAATTTTCCATACTTCAAATGATTGTTATCTTTAGTCCTACACCAGTATTTTCATGGTAGGAGGTCAGGTAGGCTGAAACCTCTCTTTATACGTACTTTTGCTACTGTAGTGCTATAATTCTATTAAAACAGATCTGCAATGCTCATGACATTAGTTCCATTTTAAAGTAAAATGCTACCTGAGGTAACTTGGGTGAAATCTTAACACCTGTAGCAGACTGCCTGTAAGGAGCTGCATGGGGAATGCATGGATCTGAGTACTAACTGGTATTTCCCAAGCAGCTTTAGAATTAGGAAACTAACTTTTGACATGAATGAAGGAGAGATTGTTCTTTTCCCTGATGCTGGTTCAGAAAAGTCTTTAATTAGAAGAACTTGCAAAAAGATCTGTCTTCAAAGCAAAACTCTTTCTGTGAGATGGAGCAGTCACTTACTTAATTGTGCATGCCCTTGGATTAGATTATGCCCAGATTTTAATTATGAGTGAGGATGGGAAAATTTCTATCACCAAAAGAAGGCTATTGTTACTCAGACTCTTTTATTAGAGCTGTTGCTGTGTACTTTATTTCATCTGGTGACAAGCTTGGAGGTTCACAGAGCTTTCCACTCACCAAGTAGTGCATACATAAAATTGTCTTGGACATAACACACAGGAGGCTGAACTGTTTTCTGTCTTGGCAAGAGTTGATGCTGATTGGAATGACAGGATGTTTTTATTCATCATTTCAGATTCTCTAGTAGAAGTTCAGATGCATTACACCTTTCTGTGGTTATTAAATACTGACCACCAGATGGTAGTATAACAATGTCTTATTACTTCATATATATATGCTATATAATGTGCACCTCCCCACACACACAGATACAAAAAGCATTACGTGTTTATTTTCTTATACAGAAAATGAGAATAATTGATTCCTTTATTGTATTTTTTTCTCAAGAAACAGTGGGAGAAATAATTTGGAAAAATGAGATGCACAAGGCACGTCTTTCTGAGCTGAAGAATGAACTGGAAGAAAATTGGATCAGTTCACATCTCTATTATTATTTTATGATACTCTGTATAGAAAGAGAATTGCAACTTTGCTGTAGTCAGATAAATCTAATGTTTTGATTTATTTTTTTTTATATACAAGTTCTTGAAAAATTTGCCAAAACTATAGTTGATCTGATATTTTCCCTTAACAGAACCTTGCAGGGCAGTATGGCCAAGCTTCTGTCAGACCTCACAGCAGACAACAGTAGACCCACATCTGAAAAAGGTCTCTCGAAGTCTCTCTTGGATGACCATGAGAAACAGATGCAGCCCGATCCATGTCCTGGGAATACTTCAGTAATGACTTACCTTAAGAAGTTAGAAATGGATCATGTTTTGATAGATGCTGAGCTTCAGTTCTCAAATAAAGATGGAGAGTTACAAATGCTAAATCAAGCCTATGAAAAGTTTGCTGATGAGGGCACTAAAATAAACCATATATTCTCAGAAGAACGAGCATCAGCATCCAGAATGCTACCAACCTTACTGAAGCAAGATGCAGAAACAGCTAGTGATTCTGGGACTTTAATAGATGAACAAAACAAGTTGGATGAAACTGTTTATATTCCACTGACTAGCAGTGCCTCTAAAAAACAGCATGTCTGTGAGAGAACTAATGCACTACCTCTCATGAAAGGAGCTTGTAAGATGTTGGACTACAACTGTGAGCTCTCAAACTCCATGCAACAGAATAGAACTGAAGTGTCAAAGGATCCAACTATTCTGGATACATTTAGTGCTGGGTACAGCATGAAAAAGGCGATGGAAAACACACTGGAAATTACAGGGGATAAAGTGAAGTTGGGAGACAAAGTCCAAATGAGACCAAAAGGCACTTTGAGTGGAACTGCAAAAGACTTCCCAGACAAACCAGGGCAACTTCAGCCTCATGTTCCAATGCTATTTCAGAAAGAGATCTCTCAGAAAAAAGGCAGCGAAGTAGGTGATGTCAGTTATATTTCATTTGATGATATATCAGGGAAATCTGAGTGGAGTGTATCTTCTTTCTCAACATTTACTTCTCGAGATGAAGAGGACTTTAAGAATGGCTTAGCAGCATTGGATGCCAATATAGCTAGGTTACAAAGAACTCTGCAAAATAGCATTATGAAACAGCAAGTGTGAGGAAACAAATTAGAATGTGCTTGCTCAGATAATTAAAATTTTTCTGAGGTGTATTAGAATGGTACTGATAGTATTTGTATTTTTTTGTGTAAATGGAGCTCCTATTTGTTTTAATTATGAATGAGATTTGTTCCTCAAGTCATGGTGCTGCTTCCCTTGATGTGTGCAACTTCAAATATTTACAAATTCCTTTTTAAAAATTGATGACTTCACTTTATACTCTTTAACTGCAAAATTAATTTCTAGCACAGCATTTGATAACTCTTGATGAAACTGTTGTGCTTTTGGCAATGTTTTTTTTCTATTAAATGATAAACTACACTTGATGGGTTTTTGTGTGTTTTTTAAAAGTAGTAAGAACACTGAGAGATGCACTTAAGTCAATTGCAGATGTGGTAAATCTAAGACAACTTTGATTTAATTATAACATGTATAAAATTAATTTTGTAGTTTTTTTTACCTTCATTTTGACCTTGTATTTTCAGAAGTTAACTCCTTTCTCTAGTTTACTATGAAGGTGAGCAAACAGTAGCATCAACATCAAAGAAGTGGATGGGCAGATCTTTTTTTAGCTGTATTGCTTCTTGAGCCAGACTGGGTTTGGATTCAGTATAATCCAATAATTAAGAAGTGGGAATTTAAACTGTCTTTAAATGATAAAGTCTTCTGTCTTGATTAGGTAGGCTCTTAGAGGGTTGTTGGTTGGTTTTTTCTTTTTCTTTAAAGAAGTACTTGGGAGCAGAAGGCCGATTTATTAAATTTCCTTCCCTAAAGGGATGGTAACATACATGGGTACGAAGCTCTGCAGGTAAATGCTAGGGAAGAGCAGGTAACAGCAGCTGTACAGGAACATGGGGAGTTGAAAATAATAGGTCAGGATCATGCTGTTCAAAGAATAAAGAAATGCAGCCACCACAAGACGGGATTTGTAGTATGTAGTAGATCCTGTAAAATACATACAGTAGTCCTTCTCCACTTGTCATTAGAAGACTCAGTTTTCAGTTTAGAGAATTGTACTTGAAAGAAAAATAAATGGAGTGTCTGTATGAGGGCAGGAAAGGAACCATCAGCGTTCTGTTCTGCTCTACAGTTCTGTTTTATGTTGTATTTTCCTTAAGGGGAACTTAATACTGGAATGTAAACACAAAACACCCTGACGCTGAGAAACAGAAGCATTAACAGGTTTTGGCTAACAGAAGATAGAAATTGGACATTATTTGAAACTGGCAAACATGTATGGTTAGCAAAGTGCTGGAATAGACAGTCTGAGTAACTCATGGAAATTCCATAGTGGTTGAGGTGCCGAACATCTGGCAGGTGTGAATGCAGAGTTTGGAGTGGGTCATGCAGTTCAGCTCCTGCAGGAATGGGATTCCAGCCTGTTCTTCTTGGTAGTATTTTCCAGGTCTCAGTGTCAAGAATACGGATCAGGGAAGGTTTCAAGTTGTGGAGAGGTTGTGTCATTGCTACTGTTCTGCGGCTCTTGCACACTTAGCAGCACTCAAGTGTTGTATTTCATGACTGACGGTTTTTCAGGGAAAGCATCTTTGGAAATGTAATAGCAGTAAAAAGACCTTAAAATTAATTAAGAAATTTAGACTTCTTTTTCTGCAGCATTGGGTTGTTATGTTTTCTAGGAAAAAATATACTGTGCTTTGTGGTGCTGGCAGTTTGGGAGACAGGTATCAAGTTCAGCACTTCTAAGTTTTTATCCATAGTTGAATGAACAGACTTTAAATTAGTTCTCTGTCCGTGCATTGTGCTGTGTTGCAGTCCTGAGATTATTTTAGTTACTGTTAAGTGAGCAATAAAAAGGTATGAAGACAATACGTACTAGGGAAAATGCCAACTGGCACTCCAGCTTTGAAAAAGAAAAGTTAGACTAAATAGTGACTTCAGTGATTTAGAATGCTTTTAAGGCTTGGCCTGGACTTCTTGGTACTCTCCCCACCTCTTGAGCTCAGATTCAAAATAAGGCTGATGGTGTGGAAGTGAACACATTTCAACTAAATATTTACAAGCAGCTTCACAGAAGAAGCGAAGCAAGATTTAAACAGTGATTATAGCGTGTATTAAAGAGAAGCTGCAATAAATTCTTGTTTTTAAAAAGACAAGGGCTGTCAGAAGAAAGGTGACAGAAGGTGGCAAACTGTTCATTACTACACAGTCAGTTCTCTTGCAGTTAGGACTGTTACTCTGAAGCAGGATGGTTGCAATCTGTGTAGAATACCTGGTGTCAAGATGACTGAGCAAGTTGTCCTTTCTTTGAGGTAGAAGTGAATAAAAATCTTCTCAACGGGAGAAGATGTAATATTATCTTATTTGTGAACCTCACATCCTTAGAAAGTGCATTCTGTCAAAGCAGTGTAAATGTACTTTAAGATAACAAGATGTGAGCAGATCTGTAGTGTGCTCAAGGAGGAGAGACTAAGAAGAAATACAAGGGAAGCTTATTTTTTAATACAGTTCTTTGATTTGTATTCAGATGTGTCAATCAGAACAATAAGAACTTTAAATAAACCTTCCTACGTGTGGACATTTATTAGTTAGCAGCATTGTGGAAGCAAAGCAAGCAATGTCAGCTATGTGAGTCCTTAAAAGGTGAGAAAGTTCAAGAGAAAACAGTGATAACATCTCCTACAAATTCATTCTTTTAGTGATTTGTATATAATAATACTTAATCCAAATTAAATAAATTCAAGAATTTACACACAGCATTTTGACCACTTAAGTTTGCATAGTCTGAGAAGTACAATTAAGATCCCGTGTAACCAAGTAGAGGGATTTGTCTTTCCTGGTGAAAACAGCTTAGAAGCTATTTCTTTTCATTCCTGTAATAACAAAGTAGAAATCTCTGTTCATTAAAGGCATCACCTTTGTTAGCACAATTCTTACAACATGGAAGCAACTTGTGCTGTAGTACATGTTGCTGCTCTTCAGCAGTTGAATGCTTGTCATGACATGATTTGGGATTTATTAAGATTCAGCTGTGTTGCAAGGACCAGAGCTCAGGTTTGCATCTGTCACAAGCCTAGATACATTCCTCTCCACGCTGCTTTAAAGAACTTGAAGTCTGATGCAGCTGGTTGTATTGCCTGGCTGGATTCCAATACCAAACACTCTTTTCCCACCATCACCAGTTATGCTTGCTGTCAACAGCTGACACTTGCTAAAAACTGTGACTTTTCTATTTGAAAGCAGGACTGAATTTTTACCTCTGCAAATCCACCATTGCAGCCAACTGTTCCAAAAAGAGCAATGCAATCTTCTGCTGACTTCAATTTTTGAACACAACCTGTCACAGAGAGACACTCCTGACAGAGGATTCCAAGTGTGTTTGACATACAGTCCCAGCTTCAGTTTGGTTCCAGGCTTTGTTAAGAGTACTTTTGGGTAACTTGGAAGAGGCAAAGTGTAAAGTAACTAACTGGACTGCTCTGTCAACTATGCAAGTTATCTCTGTGTTACACATGAAATTTTGCTTGAAGATTTATTGTCTAACTAGAAAAGCATAGACCTCCCTCAGAGCCAAAGCATCACACAAAGCACAACCAGCTGTGATGCTTCAGGTTTTCTAGCCAGGAGACAATGCTGAATGAGCCAGGCTGGTGATACCCCAAACAGCCCCCACATAGCAGGGGAACTTCAGACAGAGCCAGCACCCCTGTGTCTGAAGGCCTGCTCCTCCACAGCCACTGTTCTTCTGGCATAAATGGTAAATCCTCACTCCAATTTGCAGGCAGGAGTAGCTTTAATGTTCTTCGTGTTTTCACTGTGGATCTTCTCATCTGTTATTGCAATGTAGGTGAGGGAAGGTGCCTTGCTTTGTAAGGAGCACACACCTTTAGCTGTTGGCAGTCCTCTGAGATTTTTATCAGCAGTCCTCAGAAGGTTGCCTGGTAGATGATGCTGCAGCTGTGAGGAAAGCAGTATTCATCCAATTGCCATAGTGCAGATGCAGGCTAGTCCATCCACATTGCCATGGATTGCTTTTCTTTCCAAAACTTAGCAGAAATGCTATGCTTACATGGTGATCTTAATCAGTAATGAAGTGATATGTAAATGAGATGGTGACAGCTATGAATTTTAAATTTACACAGATGCTGCATTCATACTTAAATGCATCTTCAGGGAATGTTTCCACATGCTGTTTGAAGAACAAACATCAGCTGAATTGAAAACCAAGTATTCTGCTCATCAGGACAAGAAGAGAGTGTTAACCCATAGGTTCTCCAGCCATGCCCTCAATATTTGGTTCTGGCCACATGCAAGGCCACAGTCTTCATGCACAGCCCTACCACAATTCCCAGCCATGAGGTGCACCAGTAATACAAGTTCACCAGTGCTGAGACATGTTGAAAATCTCCTTTTTGCACCTTTGATAACATCTGTTACTGATGTTACACTATGCCCAAGACCATGTAAAAATTGAAAAAGAGCTATTTAAGCTATAGCCAGAGAGCAATGGCCATCTCTGCTGAAGCTAACATTATGTGGTTTATATGCCCTTACAGTATTTGCATGTCTAAAGACTACTAAGAAGTAGTATTTCTTTTAAGACTCCTGGTTTTATTCAGGCCCATTATGAATTCTGGCTACTTCCCTGCTGCAATGATACAGCCAAAACATATATTTTCTTACTGCCTCCTCCCAGATTCTATTCTGTATTTAGAAGCTAGCAGTGATGGTTTTGGACTTGCAGTTATGATATTAAGCTAAGTGTAAAATATTTTTCTTGGCATGAGGTAGAATATAAATAGCTTTAATACCAGTTTCAGGTTCTCTTTATTCCTTAGGGAGTACCAGTTCTCTTTCACATTGAATCTCAGAGCGAAGGTCATCCCAGCATCACCCTTGCTGTAGCACCTGCTGCCCAAGAAACACAAGCAGAGCAGGGCCAGGACCTCTGCTCTGTCTCCAGGACTTCAGAATTCTTGCTCCATGCAGATATTTCCATATATTCCCACAGCCTTTGTCCCCATTCCCTCCCATCCTACAGAGGTGCAGCAGTTCACCACAGTGCTATCAGCCATGATATCAGTCTCCCTCCAGTGCTTGTGTTTTCTAAGGCTAGGTTTGTGTTTTTGTGCAAAGAACTTCTCACCATGGCACATTAACATCTTCCACTGGCTCCCATACCAGGGCTTGAGATTTAAGGGTTGCAGACTTCCACCTTCCCTCTGTAGCATCAAGCACATGAGAATGTTGCTTTCAATTCCAGCTTTTAAACCTCTCTGCGAGAGAGCAGTAGACCTTCCTATTCGTCATGAGGCTGAGATTTAGATGATCACTGTCACAGCAGCCATCGATTAAGGAATAAC